ATATATATATATATATATATATATATATATTAGTTTGTTTCTATGTGGTTTTATGGGCTGCTCCAAGTGGTTCATTGGCAGAGATGTTTGTGGTTTTTATTGCCAGACTTGATTCAAAATATTAAATTCCTTATGTGAACATAAGTGTAAATAAAGAGAAGGTGAGCCTGTGCTCAGAAGGTTGCCAGTTTACTCCCTGGACCAACAACATCAAAATGTGGGTGGGAATGGCCTAGCACCCACACCTGCCTCCACCCTCATTTGCCCCACTCTGAGCCCTTGAGCAAGGCCCTTCACATAACAAAAAGTGTGTGTGCTGGGTGAGTGGGGTCCTTCATGATGCAGGTGGCCCTCTTCCTACATCTAGAGGTGTAGATGTCTGTGATGGTGGGGAGTCTGACTCCAACAGTCTTCTGTGCAGCCTTCACCACTCTCTGCAAAGCTTTTCTTTCTGCAGCTGTGTAGGAATGCGCAATATAAACGGTATACGGTAGAAACAATAGAAATTTAGCCTACGATAGAGATCTGTCTTCTACTGGCTAACCGCAGTAATGCTGTGTCTACGCCCGGCTTGCCGTAGTGTTGCCGTACTCTGACGCATGCGCAAAACGCTGTGTTCCATCAAAAGTTTTTGTTTTTTTTCCCATCGAAAGTTAAAGTAAGTGTTGGTCAGCTTTAGAGAAACCTGCTCTCTGATCTGTGAAAAGAACGCTGTGTTGTGTGATTTTACTGCGAGACCCTCTGGTCAGAGCCACAGACTCATTTTGTGTCAGCTCTCCATTAAAGCGGAAGGAGGCGCCCACTAGAGGGTTGGAAGGTGAAGTGTTTTCAGTTGCTGCTCTGTTGCTGTTCATTTCTTAAGTGAGAAGACTGGAAACTGTGAAGTTAACAACATATTTTTTTGTTTAAAACGTATGGCTAAAACTACATTTGATATCTTTTGCACCGTTTTGCACTACAAGAAAGAAGCCTAATACTTGATTTGTTTATTTTAAAACTCGCTGGACCTAGTAGTGGAATTTTCTTAATTCAAAATATATGATAGCAAAAGGACACCCTATACTTTTTTTTTTTAGCAAGTTTTATATCAAAAACATATCGCGATATATATCGTTATTGCCACCTTTCACAATACATATCGTGATATGAATTTTATGCCATATCGCACATTCCTACAGCTGTGCAGCCTCCATGCCACACGTTGATGCTGGAGCACAGGATGCTCTCCACTGCACACCTGTAGAAGGAGGTGAGGACTGAGCTTCCCAGACCAGCTCGTCTCAGCTGTCTGAGGAAGTAGAGTCTCTGATGAGCTTTCTTGATCAGGCTGGTGTTGTTGTTGCTCCAGCTGAGGTTGTCATTCATGTGTACACCCAAGTACTTGTAGCTTGAGACCACTTCCACTGCAGTTCCTCTTATGTTTGGGGAGGATAGGTGTGTTTGTTCCTTCTGAAGTCCACAATCATCTCCTTTGTTTTCTTCGCATTGATGTGAAGGTTATTCTCTTTGCACCAGTTTTCCAGGTGTTCCACCTCCTGCCTGTAGCTGGACTCGTTGTTTGTGATGCATCCCACCACCACTGTATCATCTGCAAACTTTACCGTGTGACAGCCTGGATGGGTAGTTGCACAGTCATATGTGAGCAGAGTGAACAGGAGGGGGCTCAACACACATCTCTGAGCAGAGCCAGTACTGAGGGTTATGATGGAGTAGGAGAAGTTGTGGATCTTCACAGACTGTGGTCTGTTTGTTAAGAAGTCTAGTACCCAGTTGCAAATGGAGGGGCTTAGTCCTAGTGTGAGTAGTTTGTCCATCAGGGTTTTGGGGATCGTGGTATTGAAGGTAGATGTGAAGTCCACAAAGAGCATACGGACGTAGGAGTCCTTCTGCACCAGGTGGATGAGAGCAGTGTGGACCACAGAGGAGATGGTGTCCTCTCTTGATCGATTCTTGCGGTTTGCATACTGGTGAGGGTCCTCATTGATGTTGATGGTTGTTTTGATGTGGGCCGTGACCAGTTTTTTGAGGCATTTAGCAACTATCAGGGTGAGGGCCAGTAGTCATTCAGACCAGTCACTGTAGAGTTCTTTGGGACTGGGATGATGGTGGCAGTCTTTAGGCAGGTGGGAACTGTTGCCAGGGTAAGTGAGGTGTTAAAAGATGTCAGCCAGCACCTCGCAGAGCTGATCGGCACATTCTTTCAGCACCTTCCCGGGGATGTTGTCTGGGCCGGTTGCCTTGTGCGGTTTAATCCTCCTGAAGGTATTCCTTACTTCTGCTGAGGTCACGCTGAGAAGCTCTTCGTCCGGTGGTGAGGTGAGTCGTGCTGGGTGGTTTGTTCGGGTCTTCAAAGCGTGCATAGAACTTGGTGAGGGCATCAGGCAGTGATGGGTATCTAGGGCATTGTTCGCTCCTTCCTTTATAATCTGTTATGCACTTAATGCCACTCCACATGCTCTGAGGGTCTTGTGAGGTGAATTGACCTAGTAAGCGATGTAGTGGGAAATCTTTGCAGCCCTTGGGGAATTAGCTGGAAGTTTGTTGCTCCAGAGTTCGCTGGTCTGCTTCGCTTTTCATCTTCCTCGCATTTGTCATATTTCCAAAATTTTGTACCGCAGTTTTATTGTACACTTCTTGCAAACAACCGTGCTCTTTTCAAGGTCTGTCTTCCCGTGGAACATTGTAGAATCCGAAATGATTTTACACCGACTTTTAAAGACAAAGGAGCGGATTGAATCCTGCTGTCCTCCACTCCATGCTAACAAACTACATTCAGATAAAGGGAGCTAGCTAACTAGCTTGCTGTACGGTGGCCTACAAGGCCAAATTCTATGGTGACGGGTGGACACATTATGCGATATGCAGTACGCTTGGGAGTAGGAGCGGAAAACAATTAAACTTAAACACATTTTAAAGTAAATTTTGGGGCTTTTAGAATCTAGATTCTTTAATAAATCTTTTTTTTTCCTGCACCCCCACCTGTAACCCTTAGTCCAGCATGTGACCATAGATTTGTTAGTAATATTTTGTCCATATTAAAAATAACAGCTGTAACACCTCTGCAGGTGTTACAGCTGCACCTCTTCTATTCAGCTAGTATTTTGTGGTGATTCTGTAACAGCAGCTAGAACTGGGCCTTTGTTTAGTTACAGATGCATCACTGCATGGTCACATAGTTGGCTGTCACATGATTTTGCTATAGCATTTGTTACCAACTCCCTCTGGTAAGTTTAGATTGTGTTTGACCATTTCGATCCGTGTTCTGCTTTTTCTTTTTCAGCTTCAAGAAAATCAGGATGAAATTGAAAACATGATGAATGCAATTTTCAAAGGAGTGTTCGTCCATCGATATCGGTATGACTTCACATAACTAACTTTTGTTAGAGGGTGAAAAACACCTCGTCTCGGTTGTTTACGCTGCTAATAAATATTGCTTTTAGTTTAACAGATATTTTTGTTTTGACAGGGATTCAATAGCAGAAATCAGGGCAATCTGTATAGAGGAGATTGGAGTATGGATGAAACTCTACAGTGATGCCTTCCTCAACGACAGTTATTTGAAGTATGTGGGATGGACAATGCATGATAAGGTATTGTATATTAAGGTTTCTTGTACTTTTTTAAATGTATTTATATCACAATATCCTGCGTGTGGTTTGTAATCTAAGGTTGTCAAAATATAAACACTGGGACATGATTTCAAAAACGAGTATTTAAACATTATTAAGGAGGAGCTGCTGTTCACTTTATTTAGAGCTCGCATTTATTTTCCATAAACAAGTTCAGTTTTTAACGTCTGACACATTTGTATGCAGCTGAGTAAAGGAGACATTTTTGTCTATTAAATTTGTCACAACAAACACCCTAAATTAATTACACCTGAACTGCATTACTGATGAGTGGGTTGATGGACAATCAGCCTACAAAATTACAAACTACTGCGTTACTTTTTAAGGATAAAAAAAACAACAAAACAAATGGGAATGGCCTTTGTATTTAAAGAGAAAAACTGTTTAGCTTACTGTTTTCATCCTTGAAAATTGTGGCTTCTATTTGACATTTTCCTTTGTAATAAAATAAAATCTCAGACGTTGCTTATAAAAGGTAAACTCAAAAATAGCATTGTGAAAATATCACTGAGAAGAATTCAGATATTGTTCTGGGTGCTACTTAAATATCAATATGCCCTATAGGAAAATATTTATATTTAATTTTTATCATCTGTATTTATTTATAGATAATTTTGATAAACATTTTAGTCAATAAAATACACACTTTTTAAACTATATGCATTAAAAATTTTTATTTAGTAAATTTTGTCATTTGTCTATTAACTCTGTAGCTTACACGGATTGAGAGCTCGGATGCAGCTGATGACTGTAATCAGCATTATTTTGTCTTCTGCTTTGGTTGCAGCAAGGAGAGGTACGTCTGAAGTGTCTGACGGCTCTGCAGGGCCTTTACTACAACAGAGAGCTCAATGCAAGACTGGAGCTCTTCACCAGTCGCTTTAAGGTCAGCACCACCTACTGGACAACTTCAACATAAGTTACAATTTATATTTCTTGAGAGCTCGATAAACAACAGAGTTTACAATATGTTACAATATGATATAACATGTTGCAACATTGTCATTGTGATGAAAACACTTTTTATCAGACCAAAATATTCAATATGGCGTCCATATCTTTTTTCAGGACCGTATTGTCTCTATGACTCTTGATAAGGAGTATGATGTTGCAGTACAAGCTATTAAACTTCTCACTCTAGTCTTAAAGTAAGTAAACATCAGACATGTTTGACCACGTATGGTTGAAATGTAGTGTTTTCATCCGGAGCGTTCTAGATTACGTAACATTAGTGTTGGTAACCTTGTTTGTCTCTGCAGTAGTACAGATGAGGTGTTGACCCCTGAGGACTGTGAGAGCGTCTACCACTTGGTCTACTCTGCACACAGGCCGGTCGCTGTTGCAGCTGGAGAGTTCTTATATAAGAAGTATGTCAGACTTTATTCAAACGGTTGATTTTGTTGTCGTGTTGTTAGGCCACTCTGTTTCGTAAATTGGTTTTAAAGAGTACTGTGTAGCACGGTTTGTGTAACGATAAATGTTTTTACAGATTGTTCAGCCAGCGAGAACCAGAGGAGGAAGGAGCCCCTAAAAGAAGAGGAAGACAAAGTCTGAACGCCAACCTCATTAAGACCACCGTCTTTTTCTTCCTTGAGAGCGAGGTACTCAAACTCTGCTTCTTCTTCCAGCTTGATTTTTGTCATTCAGATTCCTTCATGTAAACAAAGTCAGTCATTTCTCTTTTCGTTTGGATGACCGTTTCCTTGTAGCTCCATGAACATGCAGCATACTTGGTGGATTCCCTCTGGGAATGTGGTGCAGAGCTACTGAAAGACTGGGAGTGTATGATCAGCTTATTGATAGATGACCCATTACCAGGAGAGGAAGGTACGATTGCATTTATTCAGGTCCATGTCACGTGTATGCAGTTTGTTAAATAAATATAAGCGGTGCTCATTGTTTTATGTTTGTGTAGCTCTTACTGACAGACAAGAAACAGCTTTGATTGAAATCATGCTGTGCACTGTACGTCAGGCTGCTGAATGCCACCCACCTGTTGGAAGAGGAACAGGCAAGAGGGTAAGAGTGACCGACACATTATGAATAGTTTTCCCTTTAACTTCCAGGCTGCACTAGGATTACTAATTGGATTTAGTATTAGCTGAACACACAATGTTGCACGAAACAAACTTGACTTTAAATGAGAATTACCCAGAAAGGCAAGTAGAAAATTCTGTTTTATATTTCTGTGTATGCTTTTTATTATTATATATTAATATTCTTGTTAAGAACCGATTGATACCTGTGGTTTTAAACTTGTGTAACTCGATAGCACTTGTGTCTGTTAATGACTTGGATCAGGTTTTTTGTCCCAGATCGAATTAAGATTAAATATTGGCTGAAACAGATTCTCAATCCAGTACTTGGAGCCAAATGTTTTGATTTTAAATTTCTATTTAAATTGGCAACATTGAATGTTTATCACTACTGACACATGAAATACTTAACTTTCAGACATTGCAAGTAGCTTCCAAAGTTTGTTCATTTTGTATTTTAAAATACTTCCATACCACAAACGTATTGGAGCGGTACTTCACGTTGTGTGGCCACTATTACTGTAGGGCTTTTCAAATTCTTGGGACGACATTTGTACTGTGTTGCCGTGTTAAACGAGCTGTGTGGTCACTCTTCTAACTTGCATTGATCACATGATCAGGTAATGACAGCTAAAGAGAAGAAGACTCAGCTGGATGATCGAACAAGATTAACGGAGCTGTTTGCTGTGGCTTTGCCGCCTCTACTGGCCAAGGTACATTGCATCCATCCATCTGATTTTACCAAAAGTTTTGTTGAGCTTTTGGGAACATTAAATATGTTGGTTATTGTTTGACAGTATGCTGTTGATGCAGAGAAGGTGACGAACTTGTTACAGTTGCCTCAGTACTTTGATCTGGAAATTTACACCACTGGACGTCTAGAGAAGGTAAGAGAGATGTGCCTGTTGTAGAACCCAAATCTGATCAGAGATCTGTACAACCCACTTTTGTTCTGCTCACGTAGATGTAACAATTGATCTTTAAGCAGTTTTTAATAACTGCTTGCCTAATATGTGTACATTTATACACAAAGTGGCATCTTATTTTGTCAGGTTCAACCTGCCTGTGCTTTTTTGCACTACAACACATGGAACACATATTAAATGAAATCATTAAATAAATGAACTTCTATCTGATTAAATGTTTCTGACTTCTATAATTCATAATGCCAAACAAAAATCATTTTAGATTTTTAGGGCGAGTAAAAAAATGTTTAAAAAAAATGCTTCTCTCCTCCAGCATCTGGACGCCCTGCTGCGTCAGATTAAAGAAATTGTGGAGAAACACACGGACACAGAAGTTCTGGAGTCCTGCTCAAAGACCTACCATGCTCTCTGCAACGAGGAGTTCACAATCTTTAACAGGGTAGATATATCCCGCTCCCAGCTCCTGGATGAGCTGGTGGACAAGTTCACAAGGCTGCTGGAGGATTTCCTACAAGAGGTAAGAGTGACCTGCTGCACATCAAGGCCCTTTCACACTATATGATGTTTCAGACAACTTGTGCCAACATATAAAAATTTGTTCAAAGCACTGGCATACGCTGAAGATGAAAAAATGAAGTGGAAGCATCTTTTAGACATATACATGTCGTATTGCTAGTTAAATGAACCAATACAGTGAGGAAAATAAGTATTTGAACACCTGCCAATCAGCAACAATTCTGGCCTTCAAAGACCTGTTAGTCCGCTTCTAAAATGTCCACCTCCACTTCACTTATTATTCTAAATTAGAAGCACCTGTTTTAGGTCGTTGGCTGCATAAAGACACCGGTCCACCCCACACAATCAGTAAGACTCCAACTACTAACATGGCTAAGACCAAAGAGCTGTCCAAAGACACCAGAGACAAAATTGTAGACCTCCACAAGACTGGAAAGAGTTATGGGGCAATTGCCAAGCAGCTTGGTGAAAAAAGATCAACTGTTGGAGCCATTATTAGAAAATGGAAGAAGCTAAACATGGCTGTCAATCTCCCTCGGACTGGGGCTCCATGCAAGATCTCACCTCGTGGCGTATCAATGATCCTAAGAAAGATGAGGAATCAGCCCAGAACTACACGGGAGGAGCTGGTCAATGACCTGAAGAGAGCTGGCACCACTGTTTCCAAGGTTACTGTGGGTAATACACTAAGACGTCATAGTTTAAAATCATGCATGGCACGGAAGGTTCTCCTGCTTAAATCAGCACACGTCCAGGCCCGTCTTAAGTTTGACCATGACCATTTGGATGATCCAGAGGAGTCACGGGAGAAAGTTATGTGGTCAGATGAGACCAAAGTAGAACTTTTTGGTCTTAATTCCACTCGCCTCAGTTAGAGCATTGAAGATGGGTCGTGGCTGGTTCTTCCAACATGACAGTGACCTGAAGCACACAGCCAGGAGAACCAAGGAGTGGCTCCGTAAGAAGCATATCAAGGTTCTGGAGTGGCCTAACCAGTCTCCAGACCTAAACCCTATAGAAAATCTTTGGAAGGAGCTCAAACTCCGTGTTACTCAGCGACAGTCCAGAAACCTGGTTGATCTAGAGAAGATCTGTGTGGAGGAATGGACCAAAATCTCTGCTGCAGTGTGTGCAGACCTGGTGAAAAAATAAAGGAAACCTTGGACCTCTGTAACTGCAAGCAAAGGCTACTGTACCAAATATTAACATTAATTTTCACAGGTGTTCAAATACTTATTTGCAGCAGTAACACACAAATTATTAAACAATCATACATTGTGATTTCCAGATTTTTTTTTTAGATTATGTCTCTCACAGTGGACATGCACCTAAGATGAAAACTTCAGACCCCTCCATGATTTCTAAGTGGGAGAACTTGCAAAGTCACAGGGTGTTCAAATACTTATTTTCCTCACTGTATATAACCCGTGTTTTAACATACGAGTAATTTATCCATAACTTGTCCTTAGCATAACTTACACAAGCATATGACAGCATTTCTTTGGCTCTCTTCATCTGTCTCTCCCACATTCATGCCTTCCACACACCTAGCTTCCTCTCCCTTTTGAACCCGGAGCATTAACCCATTAAGACAAATTACATTACAGTGTGTAAACGTCAATCTACATCACAGATCTATTATGAGTAAGTTGCACGTGGGAAATAAATAAGCTGCCCTTTGCTACACAATTGCGCAGGTGGTTTCCTACGTTTGTCAACTAATGAGCAACTTTCATGTAGCGTGTGTGAACTCATGAATAACGTATCTGTCACATACCTGTAGTTTGCGTCTTAACTTATCAGCAACACATAGGCGTACTTCTAAAATTTTGTGCATGCTCAATATTTCTGACTGGCCTCGTGTACGACAACTTGTGCCATCGTATATTGGTGTGGTGGTAACTTCAAAACTTTCACCTACAAATGCAGCTTATACCAGTGTGTTTGACTTGTTTTCCGTACTTGGCACAGGCTGATGCTGTACGTCACTGTGACAGAGCCTGTTGAGTGGGAATGTTTTGGCTCTTCACTTTGATTTTATTACAAATCAGATGGTTTATGATGCAACTTCTTTTAGCTTTTCCCTCTTCTGGGGTTGCCATAGCGAGTCATCATCCTCCATCTCACTCTGTCCTCACTCCAACTACCTCCATGTCCTCTCTAACAGCATCCATCTGTCTCCTCTTTTGTCTTTTTCCTGGCAGCTGCATTTCTAACATCCTTCTATCAATATACCCACTGGGGCTGAGCAGAATATAACGTCAGTATTGCTGGGAGTGAGGCGTTACGGTATTAATGCTAGGTCTAAGCTGCTGCTATATCCGTTCCCCATCCAGATATCACAGAGCAGTCTGCTGATGGGGGGAGGGGGTTTTGTAGGCGGGGTGCTCAGTTCTGTTGACAGGGCTGGGTGCCCTCCTTGGCTAATGAGGGGAAACAGTGTTCCTGTCTCCTCTGTTCAGTCCTCTCTGTCCTATTTCTTCTTTGCTAACCTTTCTCTGAACAGCTTCCTGCACGTCACTTTTCCACCACCAGGTTTCCTTATCATCCATTCTCTGTCCAGATGACACACCAAGCACCTTCCTACCGGTCTCTAATTACTGTTGCTGTAGTAGTCCAGTCATCTGGAAGCTCTTTCTTACCACCCAGAGCCTTTAACAGCTCCACTCTGAATTTCTCACATTCTATCTTCTTCATCTTCCACTATTTGGTCTTCTTCTCTGATTTTACTCTTTTTCTCTTCTTCACAACAACAGTCATTCTGCACACAACCCTCCGGTGCTGTCTGGCCACGCTCTCCCCTGCCACAAACTTACAGTCCCCAATCTCCCTCAGATTTCCTCTTCTACTTTGAATGTAGTCGACCTGTGTCTTTTACCTCTTATAGGTCACTCTATGTTCCTTCCTCTTTGGGAAACAAGTGTTTATTACACTTCCATTCTTTTGGCAACATCCACCACCATCTGTCCTTCCTGGTTTCTTTCCTTGACCTACCCATCCTAGTGATGTGACTATAAAACAATAATGGATGAATTTCGATTATCTTAAAACTTAAATTACTATGGTTTATTTAACATAAATTGACACTTTTATTTTCTGCCTAATAAAGAAGGCACAATTATAAATGTTTGGAAACCTTATTATCACAGGCTGCTAACTTAATGGTGAAAATGATAAAGAAAAATTAATGCGATTAGCATCCTTTTTTTTTTATCACAGAAATTCATAGGCAAAAGGTTTCAAAGTCATAACTAAAACAGTCATGTTTATATAACTTCAGCTCTTACTTACAAGCATGATTTTCAGAGTTTCGTAAATAAAAGATTGAAGAGGAGTGGTGGTGCAGAGGTTAGGTTGAAGAGGTGAAAACATACAGCTTTACTGCAGCATGTTTATACAGAAAGTTGCTGTAACTCTACGAGGACAAACGGCCCAGAACAGCAACTACTCTGCTGATCTATCTTATTGGCATCACAGAGTAATCTTAGTGAAATCACTTTTTTTTACATTTGAAAACTATTTCAAAATGTTTCATATCCATATTACAATTCATTTAAAAGTACCCCCATCCAGCCCTATTGTACAATATATGCTTATATTGATGTTTCACAGACTGTAAAAAGCAGTAAATAGGTCTTCTCCTTGTTTTGTTTACGCCCACTGTCACAAAAATGAAAAATTGCATTGATTATCATCAAATATATATTTAATACTTTAACAGTTTACCATTTATATATTTGCCACATGGCTATGGTGTTTCTGAAACCATGGCTGAGTCATGTCAAAGTTTTCCAGAAACGCATCATGTCCTTTTTTAAATATAGATTTTTACATTTAGATCTGTGGGACATTTTAAAACTAGATTATAGTGCCTGTTGCATCAAATTTTTGTGATAAATGCAATTACTGCATATACATTATTGGAAAGATAATGTATTGCAAAAAAAAAACAAAAAACTGCTGCGATGAACATTTGTTGAGATAGTGGCATGTGCAGCAACATGAGGTAATGACAGAGGAACACCTGCATGTAAATAGAGCATTGCCATTATGGCTAACAACACAGACGGTAGTGAAGAATCAATGTTTCTTTAGATTATTTTGGGTCACTGTTGGAGAGGGTCAAGAGTTTGAATTAGTGATCAAGGAGGCATCAGTTGATTAATTATCTTGATGGATTTGAATTTTATTTTTTCAGGGTGAAGATGCTGATGAAGATGATGTTTATCAGGTTTTGTCGACTTTGAAGAGGATCACAGCATTTCATAAGTAAGAGCCTGTTTCCAATGAAGTACATGCTGTCTTGTCCATTTCCTGTCCTGTTTGCAGTTTGTCAATCAGCAACATTTATGGTAGAGATGGGTTGTTTGACACGAAGCCTCCAAAGCCTGTTTCACTTTGTTGAACCGGACTTAATCGAAACGCACTGTGTCAAGGCTTGTATGAATTAAATCACTGTGGTCATGTGACCAGTCAAAACAAAACACCACAAGTGGTGGCTGATTTGAATCTTTGGCGTCATTTCTTTCTTTATCCAGAGTTTGTAGCTGCTATATTAGCAGCTGACCACCAGATGACACTGTTTGTTCAGGTTCAAGAGTCTTTATTATCCCCAGGGGGCAGTTTGTTTCACAGTCAGTAGGCACATAAAACAACCATACTAGACAAAACATTGAGACATTAAAATAACAGAAATCAACATTTTTTTGTTGAGAAGCCTGTGTACAGGGGTGAATGAGTTTTTCAGTCTGTTTGTTCTACATCTGGGCAGCAGATACCTGTGTCCAGATGAAAGCAAACAACTCACCATGGAGTGGATGATCAGGATCTGCCAGAATCAGCCTGGTCTTGTTCACTGACCTCACCTTGTGTAGGTCAGTGAGGTTCTGTAGGACTATGTCAGCAGTTTTGCTGCACATCCTGACAATCCCGAGAGTTTGTTTCTGTTTTTACATGTCAAACGTCCAAACCAACAGATGAAGCTGAAAGTTAAGAGACTCAATAAAACATGAATAAAACATTCTCATAAAAGTAGAATCAACATTAAAACCACAGACCTTCAGATAAAAATACATCCTCTGGTGGTTTTACAAAGTGAGTTCACATGGGGGTCAAAGTTCAATTTGTCATCAAGAACAGTTCCCAGATATTTATATTGTTGTACCACCTCAACAGCTTCACCGGTAATGACCACAGGAGTGACAACTGAAGAGTCTTTTAAAATCAGTGACCATCTCCTTTGTCTTAGAAACATTTAGCTTTAAAAAAGAAGACTTGCACCATTCTTTGAAGTCCCCGACCACAGACCCAGGGTCTGGGTCATCACTGCTCAGAAGGGACAGGATGACAGAGTCATCAGCAAACTTTAAAATGTGACTGTGGGAAATGGCTGCGACTTTTGTTTATATATAAAATAAATGAAAGGGGTGAAAAAACGCAGCCCTGAGGGGAACGATTAGACAGAAGGACATGAGAGAGAACCCCGTTGACCCTCACCTGCTGAGACCGAACAGTTAAACAGTCCACAAACCAACAGATGAGGCCAGAGTCGAGACCATACAGATATTGTAATGTCTCTACTAAAATGTGGGGCTGAATACAGTTAAAAGCAGATGAAAAGTCAATAAGAAGCAATCTTACAAATGCTTTTGTACCTTCAAGGTGTGTCCTAAAATCATATTTAAGAGTTCCTGTATTCTCCACTCCCCTATGTGGGTTTGTTTTGGAGGATTTGAAGCTTCAAATATTTTTTTTTCTTAATCTTTTCTTCTCATCTGTAATTTAAAGCAATCGTGACTGTGTTCATGTGTTTGAAACTTGTGAGTTTGTAAACTCTTCTAGTGCACATGACCTGTCGGGGTGGGACCTCTTTACCAGCAACTTCAAACTTCTCAACACGGGTATAGAAAATGGAGATATGCCTGAACAGGTAAATAAACATCTGATTAAACTGAGAAATGCTTTTTGTAAATGCAGATCAATTTAAAGTCTCTTTTTTTCTCTCGCTCTCTTCGTTCCTGTCCTGAGCAGATAGTCATTCATTCACTGCAGTGCACCCACTATGTTATTCTGTGGCAGCTGGCCAAACTGTCTGAGGGCAGCTCCAGAAAGGTGAAGACATTGTCCAACTGCTCAACTCACTTAAACAACGAAGGGAAGGATTTTGTTCACTTGTGTGGTGGTGTTTTGTTTTAAGGATGACATGGTGACCCTGAGGAAACAGATGAGGGCGTTCTGTTTGATGTGTCAGCGCTACCTCACAAACGTTAACACGGCCGTCAAAGAGCAGGTGACAAAGTTATTAAACATTACAAACTTTATTTCAATTCAGTTAAACATTTGAAATCCAGATATAGGACGACTAGTTTTGTACGCCGCATATTTATCATTTTCCCTGTCTTTCCTTTTATTATTATTTCCCCTCGCAGGCTTTCACCATCCTGTGTGATCTCCTGCTCATCTTTAGCCACCAGATGGTGTCTGGGGGCAGGGAACACTTGGAGCCCTTGGTCTATTCCCCAGAGGACTCTTTACAGTCTGAACTGCTCTCCTTCGTCCTCAACCACGTCTTCATAGACCAGGACGATGACACAAATAGCACAGGTACGAAACGATTGCAAATGTATGTTTGTTGTACAATTGAATTTGCCATGGGGTCCAAGTAAAGTATTCTTGATCTTTTCATGTTTTACTTATTTCAGATGGGCAGCAAGACGACGAGGCAGTAAAAATTGAAGCTTTGCACAAGAGGAGAAACCTCCTGGCTGCCTACTGTAAGCTCATCATCTACTGTGTTGTAGAAATGAAAACTGGGGCCGACATCTTCAAACAGTACATGAGGGTACGTTTTTCTTTAAATGAGGCAGATCAGGATGGATTTTCAGAAGATACGCCTGACTTTTGATGAAAATGATATCTGTAAATAACGATCAGACTTGTAAACCTGTGTTCAGCTGTTCTGAAAATAAATGCTTATTTATGTTGTGCTCTCTTTGCAGTATTATAATGATTATGGTGACATCATCAAGGAAACTATGAGTAAAACTCGGCAAATTGACAAGATTCAATGTGCGAAGACGCTCATTCTTAGTCTGCAGCAGGTTGGTGGACACATCTTTTTTAAAAACTCATTATTGTATCGAGTGATTCCAAACCTCATTAAAACTAATTTATTTCATGTCGTGTTAGCTGTTTAATGAAATGCTGTCGGAACTGGGTCATGGATTTGATCGATCCTCCTCTGCGTTCTGTGGAATCAAAGAGTTGGCCCGTCGGTTTTCTCTAACCTTTGGGCTCGACCAAGTCAAAACCAGAGATGCCATTGCTATGTTGCACAAGTAAGGCTTCGTTCTGTTGTTGGAAGTTTTCATCGCTGGCTTTACTTGTTTGGCTCTGCATCTAGAAGCCGTCGTTTTGACAAATTAGTCCTTCAACACTGATTTTTCTTTTAGACGTGCTATTTTCACTTTAATTTTTGAGAGGCTTAAGGGATAAAATATTTATTATATCCAGTTCCCTTCTTCTGACTATATATATATAAAAACTATATAGATCTTGTCAAACACAGACAAAAAACCAGTGCTGTGAAAACAAAAACGTATCCTGTTATTACTGGTTATGTAATCAAGTTACCTTGCTATTAATCAAACTACACAAAGTGCTCCTTGTTCTCCTGTAGCATGAGGTAGGCTTTAGAGAAGCAAGCGCATTTCTTTCATAAGATTATCTTTTCTATTACTAATAAGGTAAAATAAATATATATATTTTTTTGTAATTAAACAAATGCCTTGCATGGAACTGTAATGGGTAAAACCTCAGTCTGTACACTGTTCGAGGCGTACTACGTGGTTTAGGACAGTTTTTTCTTAATGTGAGTCAAATTGTAGAATTATTTTTCACAGTGTCTTGTTCCTTCTCTCTTTTCTGTGTTTTTTAAGGGATGGTATTGAGTTTGCATTTAAGGAGCCCAGTCCTCAAGGAGAGGGAGGTCCTCCTCTCAACTTGGCGTTCTTAGACATCCTGAGCGAGTTCTCCTCCAAACTCATGAGACAAGATAAGAGGACTGTGTAAGTGCTGAGGTTTGAGTTGGAGCCCTTAGTTTCTCAGCTGGTGTTTTTGTTATTTGAATTTTAATGCCCCAGTTGGACCTAGAAGTCCTTGTACAATTAAAACTGATTCCATCTCATCTGTGTGACTTCCCTCTTCTCATCAGCCACATGTACCTGGAGCGCTTCATGACGTTCCAGATGGCGCTGCAACGAGAGGACTGCTGGCTTCCACTGATCTCCTACAGAAACTCGCTGCAGGCTGGGGGTGATGACGACACCATGTCTGTCATGAGCGGCTACTCCAGCCGAGGCTCCTCCGTTCGCTCCAAGAAGGCCAAACCACCTGTGGCTACAGCCGGAACGTCGGCAGCAAAGAGGAAACTGCCAGAGGGTGCGACACTCGCTGATGTTTGCTAATTTATCCTAATGATTTGACTAACAAATGACAACGGTGGTCTGTGCTGTAATAATAACTGTGGCTCGTGTTTTCCAGAGGAGAGCAGCAGTGCCGTCGAGGCTTGGCAGCAAAGCATCCAGACCCCTGTCATGTTGCCCTCCCCCCATCTCACCTCTACAGCCATGCGAGACCCCAAAAGAGGTCGTGATGACAGCTACATGGGGGTCTACGCTCTTCCTCACGAGCAGCCTCAGCCCCACCAACACCCGCAGCACCATCAACAGACGCCACAGCACCACCAGACACCCATGGATTACAAGTAGGTCAAAGTGCAGTGCATGCAAGTTTATATAAAAGCATCTTTAGACAAATTAAGAACGCTTGCTTGAACATACAATGCAAAACTTTTTTCGTAAACAGTGAAGTAAACTAGAACACAAAAAACGTAGACGGTAGATGTACTTACAAATTATTGCTACAAATAAGTGAAGGTCATTGGTACACAGAGGTCGACATAAGGAACATTTCCAGGTTGTCCAATGGACAGCCTCTTGACGTAATCTGGTTGTGGGCTTATATTTACAAGATTTCAGCTCGCGTAGTATTTTAATATTTGTTTTTCATATTTAATCATTTATTAAATTACATTTATCACAGCACAGTTACCTCTCATTGTGATTCTAAATATAATGAAGTGTAGCTCATCCAAACAGCCGCAGCACCGACATTTCTGATAAATACCTGAAACTGGCTCTCACAGAGAACTTTGTGAGTTTGAGGTTAAAAAAGAACTTCAACAGACGCACAGATCTTTGCTATAAATATTTATCTTTTAGTGTTAATACTAATTATAAGGACTAAAGCAGCAGACGCTGCCTTTTGTATCGGTACAGACACCGACCGAGCATACTCCCATGGAGGGACTTCTCCTTGAAGACCAGGAGTTTGGTCTCATGCACAACTTGCACGTCCGTACGATGATGACGCTCCAAACACGTCAACGTTTAATACAAAGTTAGATTTTAGATACAACTGTCCCGGGAGGTCGTGGCACGGTACATACAGGAGGAGCGGTTGGAGGTAACCGTGCATCATTTCTGGTCTCTCCCCCGTATGCAGTGGATTGGTCACGTGAACATAAACATTTAATATGTGAACGCTTAATAATTTATATTTCTTGGTCTATTCCCCAGAAAGGTATAAGAATTGGGGGAGGGGGGAGGGGATCCACCACGCGTCACAACCGCAGCAGTGGTTTATTTAATTTGGTGGATTAAATAAAATAAAACTAACTTTTGAAGCTTAATAGTTTATTTTCTTTTTTTTTTTGTAAATAATAAATGACCGGGGGGGGGGGGGGGGGGGGGTTGGAAGCTGTTCGGAAGAGCGTCGTTTAAGTTCGCCAACCTA